ATCTGTCCTACCTGCCTTTAGGTCTTCCTATGGTGCACCCATCTCCATTGTAAGTCCTTCTACCTTACTTCTGATCATCTTCTTTTGCTCTTTCCTTCTATCTTTCCCAGCATTATAGCCTTTTAGAGAGAGCTGCAGAGAGAAGAGAGAATGGTCTTCAGAAACAAGAGGGGGAATCTCTTCCAGGCACTAGTCAGATAAAAGGGGTTGAAGCAAGATCATGTAAAGTGTAGTACCTCTTTATAATGCATTGGGAAGACCTCACTAAGACTACTACATACAATTTCTGGTTGCCATAACATAAAAAAGATATTTAGACTCTAGAAAGAGTGCAGAAAAGAGCAACAAAGATAATTAGGGGATCTGGAGCTTAAACCCTATAAAGAATAGTTACTGAAATTGGGTATCTCTAGTTTAATGAAAAGAAGAACTAGGGGAGACATGATAGCAGTGTTCCAATATTTGAAAGGCTCCCACAAAGAAGAGGGGATCAACCTATTCTCCAAACCACCTGAAGGCAGGGCAAAAAGCAATGGATGGAAACTAATCAAGGAGAGAAGCAACCTAGAACTAAAGCGAAATTTCTTGACAGTTGAAACAATTAGTCTGTGGAACAACTTGTCTCCAGAAATTGTGAGGGCTCAATTTCCTTTCTTCTTTCCTTGGTTTCCTACTTGAGCAGGAGGTTGGGCTAGAAGACCTCCAAGGTCCCTTCCAACTCTGTTATTCTGTTAAAAGAAATTTATTTATTTATTTATGAGACTTATATGCCAGCCTTTCTCCACAAGGACTCAGGGCGGCTCATAGCAATAAGCAACAAGTAGTCCAAATTAAAATTCAAACAATAAAAGAATCTAAAATTTCCATTAAAACCCCTTCAGTCCAGGCCAGCCTGGACTGAACCATGTTTTAAGGTCACGACAGAAAGAGCGAAGGTCGGGAGCCACCCGGAGCTCCAAGGGGAGCTGATTCCAGAGGGTAGGTGCGCCAACAGAGAAGGCTTGCTCTCTAGCGGCCGTCAGCCGACATTGCTTGGCACCAGGCGATGGGGAGCTGTTGCTGGCTGCAGGTGATCTGCCAGATACCCCAGGCCTAAACCAATCAAAGTCCATGGCAGGAATGTAACATATGCAAATGTTTAAAACAAACCCTCCCTATTTCACTTGAAGATAAATGGAGGGATATGGGAGATTTGCAAGATTCTGTTACTATAAATTTGCAATAAAAATAGTATTGAACTTGGAGCACTGATAAGAACTAGGTATCCTAGAATTAGACAATCTCAAACCACTTTCATACCATTGCCAAGACAGTTAAATGGGTATGTTGATATGGTCATCAGCAGATGAATTTTCTTGAGGCCATCCGTAATTTACCTTTTAAAATCTAGATGTCCCTATTTTCACGTCCAATACTACTATTGTACATTCAAAGAAAAGTGAGTGATAATCACAGTTTCTTGACTGTTCTTTCTGATTCATTCATATGATGTTCAGCTGTTTTCCTTGTTTATTTTCTTCTAGGTAGAATAGGTAGAATTTATTTTATTTTAGTTAGTATATTTGTAGTTCCCAGGTACCTTGTTTAGATAAGAAAAACTGGCATGCAGCAGTTTAATTTAACCCAATGGCATGGTGGCTTCCTTTTAACACTATTTTAATCACTGGTATTACCTCTGATACAGAATTCCCACAGAAGAGAGAATCTAGAGAAGATGCTTAATCTACCTTTATAAATTCTCTTTACTATATATCAAGCATTACCAATATTCAGGGAAGAAGCTTTTAGTTTTGAAATAGGGAACAAACACCATCATATTTACATTCCTTGTATGGTAATGATGGAAATTATGCAATGGCTTTTGGAACCAAGAGGGAAATGCAGTTAACTGATAAATAAGATTTTGCATGCAGTGACCATATTTGTCACTTTGTTAGTTGAAGATTTCCTTTTTTCTTGTCTCAGCAACCAAATTATGGTGCCCTTAATTTTTCTATACTCAGAAGTTCTAGAGCAGTATTTACCAGCTTGAGAGCTTCCAGGCGTGTAGACTTCAGCTTTTAGCATCATTAGCAACACTCATGTTGGCTGAGAAATTCTATTGACTGAAATCCACACATCTAGAAACTGCCAAGATTGAAAAATACTATTCTAGAATGACATATTTAACTGGATATTTTATAACAGTGTTTTTTTTTTTTTATTTGATTTATATGCCGCCCTTCTCCGGAGACTCAGGGCGCCTTACAATGTGTTAAGCAATAGCCTTCATACTTTTGTATATTTATACAAAGTCAGCTTATTGCCCCCATAATCCAGGTCCTCATTTTACCTACCTTAGAAAGGATGGAAGGCTGAGTCAACCTTGAGCCTGGTGAGATTTGAACTTGCAGTAATTGCAGGCAGAAGATGTAAGTGGATGTTAATAACAGTGCTTTCGTCTGCTGAGCCACCAGAGCTCTTAATTGATAGTACAATTAAAATTACTTTTAAGGGGACTTAAAAATAATCTGTGTAAGACAGAGCAAATCAATGGAACTTTAATTCTTTAAGTTGGACTGCAAATAATAAATAGAATAACAATAAGGCCTTTGGATAATGTTTATTACTAACATGGTGTGATTCAGATTCTTGCATAGATTAATTAGTGGATATAAGATATAAGAAGCTAAAATATAAGAAGCTAAGGCAGTGGTGGAATTCAGCTGGTTCGGGCAAACCGGTAGTTAAATTGCTGGTTGGCTCTGCCCCTTCCTGCCCCACCCCTTCCAGGAGTCCCCATGCGCCCCTTTTTGGCTCCCAGATAAGTGCAGGGAGGCCTCCTAGGCCCAAAATGGGGTGCAGGGTGCATTTTTGCTCCCAGGGGAGTGCAGGAGGCCAAATGCTGCTTGTCACACCACATGGCCATGCCCAGCCAGCCAGTCATTTGGGCATAGAACCAGTTGTTAAATTATTTGAATCCCACCACTGGGCTAAGGGTCATCATTTTTGGCCTTTGAAATAACTTGTGGTGGTGCCACTATCATATCAAGGGCAAAGAGGGTAGGGTGGTCTGCCTTGGGTATAAGCAATATTGGGTGTATTGACTAGTAACATGGGAATGAGAAGTAGACTACCCAGAAAATCAGCTGTAGGTTTGGAGTTAGTTAGTCTTTACTAGTGATGTGCTAATTAACTATTTGTCAATAAGTGACATAGTGCAACACCAGTGGAGGAGGGGAATGTTAAAAAAAATCCACTCCAGGGATCAAGTATTCTTGATTCGCCATTGGATAGTTTGATAGAAGGAAACACGCTAATTGATTAAAAAGATGGATGTCTGGCTGCTACTATTCAAGACATACTGTTAGGCATAGCATGAAAAATGTCTTTCTTATGAAAAATGTAATTTACAAATCTATGTTCCACTCATATGATAACCTGAAGCTGACATTTACTTGAATTGGGCTTTGTGGGAAAGGAAGAATTTTCTTCGTTCAGTTCAGCGTGTTTTCCCCCCAGTATTGAAAGGCAAACATCTGTGTCACATAACTAAGAAACTTCTATGTTAACTCTTGGGGCTAAACTGAACCTTTTGTTAAGTTTGTCATCAAAGAGCAAATTGTCTCCTTTATTGGAGCAAGCGGCAGAGGGTGATTATTAATCCCTGGCTGCCATATTCTAACATCCCTAGATGCTTGTGAGTAATGTCCACATGTTGTGATTGTTTCTTTTCCTCTGCTTGGAAAATTTGTTCTCTTTCGATGATGTTGGATACTTATGGAGATAATTTTCAAATGGTCTTCCTTCGAGTGCTTCATATACATAAAACACTAACACTAAAGATTATCTCAACTCCTACCTCTGGTTTATTTCCTAAGGTGCCTCTATGGATTCCTACAAAGCTCTTTAAATGTTACAAATGCTTTCTGGTATGGAACTAATAAAAGCTATGCTCGCTCATTTCTATGGAGGCACAGACAGTCTTTTTGTTTTGCAATTCAGGAAGAACTGCTCTTAGGATCCCCATGAAGGCCGTTGCCTGTTATGCATCTAGCAGAACAGAGATGCGATAAATGATTGAAAGCTGGCCAGAGGGGGGAAACTGCTTTGCCTGGTAGATATAAACAAGTTTCCTGAATCTGTGTTTTTTGAAGCCTGCATTGTCTCTGCCAACTGGCTGGTGTGATGCCAGAGTGGGGAGTGGGGAAGGAGCTTGTCATCTCTAGACATTTCCATTTCTGGAGAGGAAAGTTCCCTCCAGATGTTCTCTGGCAGGAGGCTATGATTGCCCTGTATCTCATAAGAAGCACCAAACCATCAGAAAATACTTTGAAGGTAAGGTTGAACCTAAGATTTTATGCAGAGTATAGCAATTACAACCGTATTTATTCTGCCCAGAGTCATCGGGAGTCAGGCAGCATACAGATTAAACAAACAAATACATTTATTTCTCTTGATTTATTGTAAGTGCCCACTCCAACCTATTTGACAGCTTACATCTAATACAATGCTGAAACAATTAAAAGTGCAGACAAAAGAAAACAGTCTGCACTAATAACCTATCTGCTATAAAAGCTTGTAATGTATATTTTGATAATCTTATTAGATTTTAAACTGAAGTAATGTCTCCTCTTTGTATTCTGAATGCTTGTGCTTTGTCGATTTGGGACTTCAGGCATTATGATTTGTAGTATGCGGACTGAATGTCAACAAGAAAGTTGGAATATGTGATCTACCTAAGCAAGGTGAAAATACCACTAATCTTTTAAGGACCAGTTCTTGTACCTTGGGGAGGAATCCTAAGATATGGTGGCAGAGTGAGTTGTTTAAAAATCATGTATTCAGAAATAAACAAGATTGCTGTGTTTGTATGCTCAAGTGAAAAAAAATGAGAATTCAAATGTTGTTCCTGTTATTGCCATTATTTAGCTTCTCTGGAGTCCACAGTTGCCTCTGCTTTGCCAGTCTACATTTCTCTTGCAAATTAATCTAATGCTATTTTTTTCTTTCTCTTCAAGGATGATTCCAGCTACAAATAAAGCCTTCGTGGTGAACAACCTGGTTTCTGGAACAGGCTATGATCTTTGTGTTCTGGCCCTGTGGGATGACACTGCCACAACGCTCACTGCTACCAACATTGTAGGCTGTGCCCAGTTCTACACCAAAGAGGACTATCCCCAGTGTCAGTCCATGCACAGCCAATTTCTGGGTGGGACCATGATTTTAATCATTGGAGGCATCATTGTGGCTACTCTGCTGGTATTTATCATCATACTGATGGTGCGGTACAAGGTTTGCAACAACAACCCTGGAAAGATGGCCAATGTTAGCAATGTCTATTCTCAAACCAATGGTTCTCAACCTGTCCAGAATGGAGTCCTGCCACAAGTGAATCCCAAAGTTGTGGTAAGGAATGAACTCATGGAGTTTAACTGCGAGTCGGCACACAGCAGCATCTCTTCTTCCTCTAGTTCCATGAACAGCCGTGACTGTGATGGCTATAGCCTCCAAAGTGAACAGGGCACATTGTCCAGTAAATGGAGGCCCCCGTCAAGATCAAAGCATCACAATATTGATCGGCTCATGGGAGCTTTTGCCTCTCTGGACCTGAAGTGTCAGAAAAAGGAGGAAACAATAGACTCAAGAACTTCCATTGTGGTCCGTCACTCAGACAAGGAGCCACTTTTGGGTCAGCAGGAATCCAAATTTCGCAGCCTCCTCATGTTGCCACTGGAGGGTAAAACTAAACGTAGCCATTCTTTTGACATGGGGGACTTTTCCACTTCTCAGTGTTGCAACTACCCCAAAAAGATCACAAACATTTGGACAAAACGTAGTTTGTCAGTGAATGGTATGCTTTTACAGTACAATGACAGTGACCTGACAGAATCAAAGGGAACTTATGGGAGCTCGGAGTGGGTCATGGAAAGCACAGTGTAAATAGAAGCTGCCCTCCATTCCATTCTTAGTCCTACCAAACATAACCAAGTCCATGAGTTCAAAAGGCCATAAATGTGATAGAAGGAAAACAAACCACACACACAAACACACACACACATTCAGCCACATATTGGTCAATAAATATTAACATAAAGAATTCAAGTGGAGTAAAAGAAGTTATGAGGTTTATAGGATGTGTGCATGTGTGTAAGGAGATGGTGATATGCCCTCGACATATTATTTATATCTGTGTGAATGTCTCAAGGAATTCACTGGAAACGTTCAGTGCTATCCCAATTTCCCAGTGAACTGTGTAACAAAATTGAAAGAGGATTAATGCTGGTTAAGAAGTGTCTATTCAACTCTTAGGATAATTGTGTTTGTCTTCATTTTCTCATTGTCTGAGATGAACATTTCAGTGGACACAAAACTAACAGGGGAAAAACTTAAGCTGCCACTACATAACCAATATATCTGGAAAAAGAAACCCTGAACACACAAATTAACATTAAGATTAAAAGCAACATTTTGAAAAGATCTTGCTACTGTTTGCCTGAAGATTCTCTCCTCTCCAGAAAAAAAAATCCAACAGTCCATACTCACTGCCTTTCTTTCCCTTGTTATAACTTTTTTTTAAAAAAAACTAATAATTAATTATTGAGATGCTATCATTGTTCTCTATCTGTTTTATTCATCAACAGATGGCCATAGGTTATTAAGATTATAAGGGAGTTAAGTGTCAGGGCAGAAGAGAGAAATTCAGTTTTTATAACCTGGGGGAGAAAGGAGAAAAATGTTCCTATTTCTGACCAAGATTCCAAAATCACTATTTAATCAACAAACAAGAAATATCTGACTCATAAATATTAGAAGAGGGAGGGAGATCCATACCTTCATATCAAATACCACAAATTGGCATATCATCATGTCAGTCAGAAGAAGGGTATGAAATCTCCAGCATCACATAAAACTCCAACTCTGATTGTGAGAATATTCCTCATGAGCTCTGGAAAATGCAGTGTAGTCTAGGAGAGGCCCAGATTCAACAGTGCTATATAGTCTCTCTTTGTCCCACATCATGTTCACATGCTTGTCTTTCTTGTTGAAATCCATTTGAGGCTACATTATGCCTTTTTAAGTGATAATCAAACACATTAATGGATCTGGAAGAGCTGTGAATGCACAAATTTTGCCCTCCCAAAGCACTACTCCATGGCAGAAGAGAAATGTTGGCCTTTAGAGCCACAGCCTATAATTCAGAATCGTTTTCTGTATTTATTTGCTCCCAAAAATTCGTCCATTGGGGAGCTATTTCTGAAATTGCACACTATTTTTTTTTCAAAGGGTCTGTGCTGAAAAGAATTGTAAAAGAGTGAAGAGAACACTCATATACAATCTCTCTTTTTATTTTTAAGAAAAAGCTCAGCTCAGAGATATATTGTGACATGGCTATGTATTTGATCCTGTTATCCGTCATGTTTCCTATTTGAAGTTTTAGAAAATGGCATCCCTGTGATCAAAATATTTTCTTTTCCCTTCCTCTTTTGCTACAAAATGTACAGTAAAAACAATTTATTGGGAAAAAAATGAACCTTTCTTTTATTCATTATTTCAATGGTTTATTTATTAATGCTAGAATGAATTTTTGTTTTCTTAGGGGGGGAAAAAAGACCATCCAATCTGTATGTTCTTTCAAGGGAGTTCATTCCAGATAAGAGAAGCAGATACGTTCTATCAATTAAATAGTTCGGGCTGTAAATAACACTAGCACCACAAAAGTAAGGTTTTTCCTAGTAAGAGAGGTGTGCATGTGTATTACACTTTCCTTGAAATTGCCAATATCCACATATTCTATGTATCACATAACACACATTCTCTCTGCACAAAATGATTTGTCAGTATCTTCAGTCCTACTGTTCACCAGCTTCTATTTATTTATTTATTTATTGGTTCGATTTATATGCCACCCTTTTCCGGAGACTCAGGGTGGCTTACAATGCATTAAACAATAGCCTTCATACTTTTGTATGAAGTACTTCATACTCTTTGTATGAGTACTCCATACTCTAGTTGAAATAACAAGCTGAGTTACAGAACTGTACAAATTGGGTAAATTATGAAAATCAAGTAGAAAGTAGGTTATGTTTCTTACTGAATAGGCAAAAATGATTACTAAGGAATCTTAGGAGCTGTGGTGGCACAGTGGTTAGAATGCAGCATTCAGGCTAGCTCACTGGTCACTGCCAGGGATTCGATTCTCACCAGCTCAAGGTTGCCTCAGCCTTCCATCCTTCCGAGGTGGGTAAAATGAGGGCCCAGATTGTTGGGGGCAATATGCTGACTCTCTAAACCGCTTAGAGCGGGCTGTAAAGCACTATGAAGCGGTATACAAGTCTAAATGCTAAGTACTACAGCTATCTTTGAAAAGTTTTAAGAGAAGAAGGGTTTTTTTTTTGGCTTTAATTTATATGCCGCCCTTCTCCGGAGACTCAGGGCGGCTTACAATGCGTTAAGCAATAGCCTTCATACTTTGTATATATTTATACAAAGTCAGCTTATTGCCCCCACAATCTGGGTCCTCATTTTACCTACCTTTGAAAGGATGGAAGGCTGAGTCAACCTTGAGCCTGGCGAGATTTGAACTTGCAGTAATTGCAAGCAGCAGACGTTAATAACAGTGCTTTAGTCCACTGTACTACAGGCTCTGTAGTACAAGTGGTGCAGCATTGAACATAACAAAGTTTCAAAGATTCAGAAAAGTATCTCAGCAAAGCAAACTCAAAATATTTTAAGTACAAACAACTTGGATTGTCTGCTGCCCTTTCAAGGTGCCAATTTACCAAGTCCCAGAAGCTCCAATTTACATGACTAAAGCTGGCTTGGAACACAGAGAACAATCATTTCAACACAGCAGGACTCAAGGTTGGAAAGTCCAATCTAGATCATGTTAATTAGCAATAATTATTACATGAAGTCAACATACATGAGTCAATATGCCTCAAGGCTCAGGCTAGCATAGCTTGGTTGTAAAAACCTTATTTTATGACTTTTTTTGCCACAGTTGTTGTGTGAATCACTGCAGTTTTCATTGAGTCACATGGTTGTTAAGCAAATCTAGCTTCCCCCATTGACTTTGTTTGTTGGAAGCCAGCTGGGAAGGTCACAAATGGCAATCACACAACACCAGGACTACTAGATTATTGTAACTCATAAATACATACTGGTCACCAAGCATTCAAATATAAATGTGAGGACTGGTCATGTCACATTTTTCAGTGCTGTTGTAACTTTAAAGGTCAATAATGAATGGCTGTACTCAGGGGTGGGTTCTACTTACCTTTACTACCGGTTCGCAACGGGATCGCTCACGCATGCACCTTGCTTCTGCGCATGTGCAAATCACCTCTGATGATATCAGGGTCAGTGGGCGGAGCCTCCTGCCGGTTTTACTACCGGTTCTATAGAACCGGGGGCAACCCGCTACTGGTTGTACTTTAATGAGCAGCCTTCTTAAAGTAGTAACACATTTTTTCAATCAATCATAATAGAGCTGGAAGGGAGGCCTTTTAGTCCAACCCCCTGCTCAAGCAGGAAACCCTATATCATTTCAGTCAAATGACTGTCCAGTCTCTTCTTAAAAAACCTCCACTGATGAAGTACCTACAGCTTCTGATGGCAAGCTGTTCCACTGGTTAATTGTCCTCACTGTTAAGAAGCTTCTCCTTAATTCTAGGTTGCTTCTCTCCTTGATTAGTTTCCATCCATTGTTTCTTGTCCTCCCTCTGGTGCTTTGGAGAATAGCTTGACCACCTCCTCTTTGTGGCAACCTCTTTCAAAGGTCTCTCAATCAACTTTCAAAGGTCTTCTGAAAACAGTCTTTTTAATTTAATAGGCAAGAGATTCTGAACTTGCCGAAGGATTGAAGGACTTCTTCCACATCCTCTTTGAAACAGATGCAGCACTATTCATATAGTCCAGAATACTTGGACAGTGAACAATTAGTGCAAATATCTAATGGCCCAGATGGTATAAAAGGAAAATTCCTTTACACAGAAGTTAATATAAAATTGTGACTTCCCCTTGAGAAGGCTGCATCAGAAACTCTCTCTGGGAAAGCTATATTATTTGAAAAATGATAAGTAAGAATGTTCATGCACGAATCTTTAAAAACTATTTTCCTTTTATTCCACCACTGCATTTAATCAACTTATCTATCCTTTCAACTATGCAATCAGTCATAATGCCACACAACTAGAAATTGCCCGAAAGAAAATGTGTTTTTTTTTACCTTGTAACATAGCTAATGGTAATGCATACTGTATAATTAGATGTCCATGTTTGATTCAATAGTTTTCATTCTTGTTTTCCTGAATATAATTTGGAATTCATCTGAAATGGAGAAAACAGTTCAACTAGAACAGGGATGTCAAACTCCCGTCATCACGGCATTGTCACATGATGTATCAGGACTTTTTTCCTCTTCACTAAACTGGGTATGGGCATGGCCAGCATGTGATGCATCCAGCTCATGGGCTGCGAGTTTGACAGCCCTGCTAGAACATTGGGAGGAAACATAGAACCCTCAAGGTGACATCTTATGTCAGTTCCAGTGATTCTTCTTGCTACAGCTGATGAAAATTGGAATTCAGTAGAAATTGGGAAATATTCCTATTTCATGAATACTCAACACATAACAAAAATAGCATTCATGGCCAAGCATTGTTTCCTCTCCTCTCCTCTCCTCCCTTCCCCTCCCTCCTCCATTCCCTTCCCTTCCCTTCCCCTCCCCTCAAAGATCTATTTGTCCACACTACTGCACCATAATATGGACACTATAATTATTGTTTCAAATTAAGCAACCCTAAAGAAGGCGTTGTCTCTACAAAGTATTTTATTTGTTCATTTGTCCATTCAATTTTATGGCCAACTACTCACCAGGCAATTGTGGGCAGCTAGCAAGAGTAAAAACATGAATATATTGAAAATGACATAATAAAATATACTACATAGGAGTCTAATTCTACAGCTCATAACTGACCTAGTGCCTGGGGGAAGAGTCCTGTCTTCCAGGGACTCCTGCATCCCATAAGGTGCCCTTGATTAATTGATGAGCATGTCAACTCTGTTGAATTGTACAGAATGGGCTGAGATAAAGAGACAGCTGGTCATGCAAATACCCAGGCCTTGTGCATTGAAGGACTTTACAGATGAAATTTTCACCTTGAATGGCATTCGGAAGTCCAGTTATAACCAGTGCTGTTCAACCAGTACTGGTGATATAATATAGGCATCCTGAGGTGCACCCATATATATTCATATATTTTATTGGATAAATGTCACAGTTAGTTCTTCTGTCACCAGCATATATAGCAAATTGCTGAAACTGAATAAGAGCACAGATAAATCTGCAGGGCATCCATTTTTTTTTCATTGCTGCAAAATTTTGCTACCTCACAGCATTGCATATAGATGCCAGATTGTCCTACTTGCTTATCTCATCTTTACAGAATCTATACAGAAATAAACATTTGACTTATTTTATGTTTTTTTTTCTTGAAAGAATTCTTTTCTCCAAACTTGACCAAACAACAATGTTGCAGATTCATTTATGAAAGGCTATTTCTCTATTTTGGAAATTAGGATCTATGTACTTATGGGGAAATTACTATAAATATCATTTCTTTTGCATTGACACCATTCCTATTAATGTAAGCAATGAAGAGTTTACTTTTTATAATTCAGTACATAGATTATCTCATTTTATGTTTTTTCCTCTGTTATTTCTGATTATATGTATTCTGACAAAAACATGAGCAATTTGAAATTGCTTTTGTTTTTGCCATATGAATGTTTCAGCCCAAATTAAATTCCATGCATTTCCAAAACTCTTCCCAATCTCAGCTATCACAGAAGACCTTATTATATTACCTAGTATCAGATGTTTGCTCTGTTGTTGTTGTGGATCTTGTAATGGTTGACAAATGGTATCTGCACATTTGATGTCAGTAAAAGCAGGTTCTCATATGAATCTCTTCATGTTTGCATCTGTTAGTGAATTGAAGGAGAAGCCATCACTGCTGTTTCAGCTAACATAACCTCAAATAGATTTCCTTGCAGCTGTGAGTTCACACAATTACAAGCACCAAAAAGTCAAGTAATTGTGTACATGTGCGAATCAGCCCAAATTCACAGAAATAATCATTTTAGTGTTAGCATTTATTTATTGAGAAAAGGATTTTCCATTTAATGGAACAAGAGTGGAAATGTATTTCAAAATTATAGTGAAAATGTCAAAACAGATCCAACTTTGGAATCATGTGACTCCTTCTGCCATTTAAGACATCAGTGTTTGAATTCTCACCAAGCTAATGGTTAATCGTTAGAAATTATGGTTGAATTTAACCCATCTTGAGTCATTTAACAATGTGTCAGTATTTGAATGTTTTCATTTTTTAGGCGTTCTTATTGCCTTTACTTATTCACACCAAAGAACCTGTTCACGCATTGTGTTTGAAACATTAAAACATTTTTACTCAGAACTGTGAATGTGACAACATGTCTTGACAAACAGAACATCTACAATTTCATTCA